TAATTTTTTTTTTTTTTTTTGCTTTGAGTTGGAGTCTCACTGTCACGCAGGTTGATGTGCAGTGACACACTCACAGCCACCACAGCCTCAACCTGCTGGGTTCAGGTGCCCCTTCCACCTCAGCCTCCCAAGTAACTGGAACTACAGGAGTGCACCACCACACCTAGCTAATTTTTTTGTTTATTGTAGAAACGAGGTCTCACCAAGTTGCCCAGGCCATTCTCAAACACTAGGGCTCAGGCAGGCTTACGCGTCCCAAAGTGCTGGGATTACAGGCATGAACCACTATGCCCGGCCTGGAAGTAATTTCATCAGAAACTTGCCAGATTTTGATTAGTCTGGGCAGGGCTCAGAAATCCTCATGTTTGACAAATGCCCTCCAGAGAGTCCCTTTAAGGAGCACTGGGAAGGATTAAGAACAAAGCCCCAACCCCAGAGGCTGCTGAGAGCTGTGCAACTCTGGGCCTCAGTTTCCCTTCCTGTAGAATGGGCTGACCACTGCTGCTATTATGGTACGGGTGACAAGAGACACCTAGCACAAAGAAAATGTCAGTGGGGTTATCACCATTTAATGGCAACTGGCGGCACCTTCTTCCCCCAGGCTTCCTGCCCCCCCACCTTCATGAGTCATTGTCTGGGCTTGGGGACAGGGAGCTAAGCCCTCAAGGAGCCTGCACCAGGGTGGCCTTCCCAGGAACCCCACATGTAAACAGAGTCCCAAGCGTGGGGAGATTGTAGGAAGTGCAGGGGTGCATAGTCCCTAGGGCTTTGGGAGAAAGGATCATGGGGTGCGCTGAGAGTTATTCACTCAGCCCCCAGGAGCTAGCCTGGCCAGATCCTTCAAGAACAGGCCGCAGCTACCACAACAGATAGTGATGACAGGAAGCATTGCTCTGGAACAGAGCCCACTGTGTTGTCACAGGCTACTCTTAGCAAGCCGTGGGGCTTGTTGACCCCTGTCCTTCACTGGAGCGCGTGCGTGCGCGCGTGCACACACACACACGCACACACACACACACACACACACACACACACACTCCACCTTGCTCACACACGAAGCAGCCTGAAACCCACTGTGGGTCCTTTGGTGCACAGAGCCCTGAAAAGGATAGGGAAGGACCATCCTGCCATTCAGAGCCAGAATGACTCTGCCAGTCAGGAATTCCTACAGAGGGCTGCAGCATTCATACAGCATTAACAGACATCAAAGACCATGTCAGGCTAAAGGGTAGCCCCCCAAAAGGAGAGACCCAGTGGCCAGCATGACCATAGCTCCCACCCCTGCACTGTACAGAGGGCCCTGGGTGCCCTGGGTTCTGGGCCTGAGCACGAAGGCTACCACAGTAGAGTCCCAGTGACACCCTGCTATCTCCTTGCTCTGTCCTGAGGTGACTTTCCCAGATTTTCTGGGTGTACACATCCATCTCCTGAGCTTTGCTGCGGGTGGGGGGGACATCTGCCCAGACCAAAGGACCAATGACTCGACTCTGCACAACAGCAAATGCATCAAGGGGGCCTGCTAGGACCCCCAGGAGCTGCTGAGATGCCTCCCAGGACCTGGATGTGTGCAGGGCTCATGGGGCCTGAGGCATGTGAATAGCCCCACAGTCCTTCCTCACCCTGCCGGCTCCCTGAGAGCCATGAAGGGGGTCACTGCCCCAGTCCAGGCCTAAACCAGAACCTCCTCGGCCTCGGGCTGACCGGCAGCTCCTGGTCCCAGAAACCCTCCCAACCCCTCCCACTGGGCTACCTACAGAGAGGAGACAAGGAGGATGAGATGAACTTGAGGACACCGAGACACTGGACAGGAGGAGGGGACTGTTCTGCAGCCTGGACAATGGGACAATGGGAACAGCCCAGGACCCACCATCATCTCGTTTCATCAGGCAAACAGAGAGCCAGGAACAGCAAATGTCTGGAGCGGAGAGGGCGAGAGTCGCCATGCTCATCTGGGCACCTCCCCCTGATCAGAGAGCTCTCCACCTGACTCAGCTTGTCAGGACGCAGACCAGGCCATGGCCAGGAGAGAGAGGAGGAAGGGCTGAGCCCCTCTGGTGGTGGAGTCACCAGTTTGGGGGTTGGGAGTGCCCCTCAGGGAGCTGTGTGACTTGTGTGTGCTCAACCACGGTCCCTGAGCCACCAGGCCTGGCTCTGCTCACTGTGAGGCCCAAGCGAGAATCCTGCGGCCAACAAGCTGGCTGTGTGGCCACAGACAAGTCACTTCGCACTGCATGCACTGGCTTCCTGGCCTGTATAAGGGCAAAAATAGCACCTGTCTCTCAGGGATGCCTGCCATGATTATTAAGCAAGACAATGTGAGTAAAGCACTCAGTTAGGGCTGACATGCTCAATAAGTGGTGGCCATAACTAGGCTTAGAATTTTCCAGAAGATGTTGGAAAGCTGCCAGGAGTCAAGGCTGGAATGGGAGTTGTGCTTAGCGGGGTTTGGAAGAGGAAGGTCCCCAGCAACCTGGAGGAGAGCTGAGCCCCAATGGAAAGGAGAACACAGATTTGCAGGGAGCCTGGCCTCAATGCAGGAAAGCTGAGATCTGCAGCCAGGTAGGGCCCCTGCAGCTGAGGAGAACTTCAGGGAGGGTCGCCTCTGCCCTTCTGTCCATGAGACTATCTGTCTAGCTCCTTGCCACCTGAGGACCACGAGGCCTGCTTCTGAGCAATCCCAGAGAGCCCACAGGCTTCAGCCCCACACAAGAGAGGCAACCACCTCCTCCTCCAAGGGCTCAGCCTGTGCACCAGGCACCCACCTCCACTTGTGGTCAAAGGGAGGACATGCTCACAGCAAGGGGGCCAGAAAAGGCCTGGGTCTCTCCTGTCCTGAGCCTGGGTGTCCTCACAGCATCCTGGGGCCGGGGCCAGCTCTTACTGGGCACCCATGCTCCTGGCACTCCGTCATCCAGAGCAATAAAGGCCACCCTTACATCCACCCAGCCTCCCCAGTTAACAAGCCACATTCATATGCATTGTAGATGCTCCCCTTGGGATCTTCCTATTTGGGAATGCTAATAGCTATAATAAAAGTTAGGTTTCAGAGTAAAAGGTCAGCCCCCCAACAGGCGACAGGAGTCAGGGTTCAGGAACTTGTTAGTCCGTAGCAGCCTGCTGTGTCTGGCTTGGTGTTTTTGTTTTCCCTTTTCTCTTTTTATATTAGCGTCATTTTAGACCTACAGAAAAGTTGAAAGAATAGTACAAAGAATTCCTATATCACGTAATATTTCTGGACTGTGAGAATCAGTTGCAGACATAATGCTTGTTTACCATTAAATATTTCAGTTCGGGTTTCACTTTGAGGTGTTCTGTGAACACCATTAATTCCCTCTGTCCAATGGGCAGTGGCATTACCAGGGGTGAGTGTTACGGGAGCAGTCTGCCTGGCAGGAGTGATATTTTATCACGGACATTATTTAGAATCGCCAGTACATGGCAATAATAAAAAGCAGAACACTTTTAGTTGGTTTGATTGCTGTTTTACAATGCCTCCCCATTACTGACTGTTCCTGAGGCAAGATACTGCCACAGGCAATAGCCACAAAAGTTGTAAATATTCAAAGTGTGAGGAAGGGTTAGAATTACGAAGAAAATAACATTAAATTGGAGAAAATATTAAAGCACCTGAATGTGATGACAAATGACAGTTGTGCATCCATAGGGAATGAGTCTAAGATTGGGGTATTCATAGCTGGGCGGCGTCGCGCACACCTGTAGTTCCAGCAACTTGGGAGGCTGAACCGGAAGGATCGCCTGAGCCCAGCAGGTGGAGGCTGCAGTGGCTGTGAGCGTGCCACTGACTCCAGCCTGGGTGACAGAGTGAGACTCTAACTCAAAAAAAAAAAAAAGATTGGGATATTCTTAGGAACAAGACTGAACCATGAGGTAAGTAAAAAGTACTGGGCATATCAAAATAGCAACTATCAGATACGGGGAAAAGAGTCTGAAAGCAGACACTCTGAGAGTGCACGGCGCAGGCGTGGGCACCAGCGTGGGCACAGTTGGCCTAAAGTTAAGAGAAGGCCAGGAGTCTGAGAACCAGAAAACAGAGCTGGGAGACATCCTGCTGAAATTCTTGTCATGAGAGACAGGGGACTCCTGCACCAGGTAGGGATCTTGGTTTGCCAAAATCAAAATTGGCTCTGGCCAATTTTGGCAGGATTTCCTGAAAAGCATTAGTTAGCTCACAGAATCCACGAGAAGTCTGGAAGACCAGGGAGGCTATGTGGCTGCACCTCCTGCCCCAGACTTGCACCCAGAAGGCCTAGCAGTGTGACCCTATATCATCTGGACACTGGCCCCAGGCTGAGACCACATCCTGGCTTCTTGAAGCACTTGCCCTGGCCTCGCTGCCCTGGATGAGATGCAGAACACCGTTAAAGGTAGGACCTGCTGCTGCACCCTTGCTGCATAGCATGGGGTGAGTGAGCATAGGGTCTTCCAGCCTTCTAGAATGGAGGAGGGCAGATGCCTCTCCCAGTGGGTCACCCGCAGCCCCTGGCAAACAGCCCAGGTGCCAAGAAACTAGAACAAATCTCAGATATCCCTGCTACTGAGGGGTTCAAGCCCTTGTCAAAGGCACCCAGCATCAGAGAGTGGCAGGTGGCTGGAGTGGGGACAGAAGAGTCACAGTGCATAGTTGGCCGTACATGGGGCCCAGTGTGAGAGGGACAGCTTGTCCCAACAGGCTCACAAGGCTGACAAAACCTTGTTGCAAAAAGATGCCCAAGAGAATCGTATTGCAAGGAAGATAAGAAACGTCAGATTTTATTCTGAAGGCTGATTCACACTCCTGTTTGGGAGAACCACACCTGGGAACTGGGAGTATAAACGCTTCTTGATCCACTTGGATTCACAAAATTCACAAAAGCAGGCTTATATACAGCCCGTTCTGTAGTCAGAGATGTCAGTTACCCCTTCCAACTGCCCTGAGACAGGGTTTATGTCAAATTGGCTTTAAACACAAGGAAGCAGGAGGTCCTTGATGCTATCAAGTGCAGGAGTTGGGATTTGAACTTAAATTAATCTGAGTAACCTCACTAATCATCAGAGAAATGCAAATCAAAACCACACTGAGATACCACCTAACCCCAGTGAGAATGGCCATGGTTAATAAAACAAACAACAGATGCCGGCTAGGATGCAGAGAAAAAGGAACGCTCCCACACTGCTGTGGTGGGAATGCAAACTAGTGCAACCTCTGTGGAAAACAGTGTGGCAATTTCTTTTTTAAAAATTTATTTATTTTATTTTATATTTTATTTTGAGAAAGCAGGATTTATTAAGAGGACAGAAAAGCTCCCACAATGGGAGGGGACCCGAAGGGGTTGCCCTAGTGTGGCGATTTCTAAAAGAACTAGACATTGACTTTCCATATGACCTAGCAATCCCCTTACTGGGAATATGCCCAGAGGAACTCAGACCATTCTACAAAAAAGATACCTGCACACGCATGTTTATTGCAGCACTATTCACAATAGCAAAAACATGGAACCAACCATGCTGCCCATCGAAACTGGACTGGATAAAAAAATGTAGTACAGCTGGGCTCGGTGGCTCAGCCTGTAATCCCGCGCCTTTGGGAGGCTGAGGTGAGTGGATTGCCTGAGCCCGCGGGTTCGAGACCCGCCTGGGCAGCGAGACCTCATCTCTACAATAAATCAAAAAATCAGCCGGGAGTGGTAGCGCATGCCTGTAATTCCGGCTACTCGGAATGCTGAGGCGGAAGGATCACCGGAGCCCAGCAGGTCGAGGCTGTGGTGGCTGGGAGCGGCCACTGCACTCCAGTCTGGGCGATGAAGTGAGACTCCAACTCAAAAAAAAAAAAAAAAGTAGTACATGCACACAATGGAATATTACACAGCCATAAAGGACAAACATATGAACTTTGCAGCAACTTGGATAGATTTAGAATCTATAATACTCAGTGATCTAGCACAGGAATAAAGAACTGAGTACTGCATGTTCTCACTCATAAGTGAACCCTAAACATTTACCATAATACTATAAGAAAGGGATTAGCAGTAGCGGGATACTGCCAGGGTGAGGATTGGGGATACAACATTAATAAGGGTACCTGATCTGGAACCAGGCAAAGTGGGGACAAAAGTGAGGCCCAAATTTTACCTGTATGATGACCACTTATATACCTAATCCTGAATTGTACCCCACATCTTCAAAATAAAATTTAAAAAATAAAATCAATGTAGTATTTTAAAGAAGAGGATGGTTTTAAAAATACATGTGACACTTCTCAGATCATATTAATTAGCGATAACTATGCCACATAGCCACTCAAAACTGCCATGGGGGCTGAGGAATGCCATGCCTGGCTATGTACCTACCTGAAATTCAACAGATATATTACTGAATAAAGAGAAGAGTTTTGATATTGTTGAGTGACTACCTCCTGCAACACCTAAAAAAATTCCTGGCCGGGCTCAGTGGCTCTGCCTGTAATCCCAGCACTTTGGGAGGCCGAAGCAAATGGATTGCCCGAGCCCGGGGGGTCCAGACCTACCCAGGCAACTTGGTGAGACCTCGTCACTACAATAAATCAAAAACTAGCCAGACGTGGTAGCGCATGCCTGTAGTTCCAGCTACTTGGAAGGCTGAGGCAAAAGATCGCTGGAGCCCAGCAGGTCAAGGCTGCGGTGGCCCGGAGCGTGACACTGCATTCCAGTCAAGTTGACAGAGTGAGACTCCAACTCAAAAAAAAAACAAAATTCCTAAGTTGATGGGAAAAACAATTAATCTGTGTAAAAAGTATTCTGCCTTTTACTCTACAGTTTTGACTCTAATCCTCCATTTTTTTTTTTTAAGAGATAGATCTCACTCTGTCACCCTGACTGGAGTGCAGGAGCACAATCACGGCTCACTACAGCCTCGAACTCCTGCCTCAAGTGGGCCTCTTGCCTCAAACTTCCAAGTAGCTGAAAAT